AAAAAAAAAGGAGGGATAATCAGAAAGAAGGCAAATAAACATGGAAGGTCTCTCTCAGTTATATTAGAAAATCTCACTATATATGTAATTTTAAAACTACATAAAAACTTCAAAAATAGGCTGGGCGTGGTGGCTCATGCCTGTAATCCTGGCACTCTGGGAGGCCAAGGCAGATGGATCACCTAAGGTCAGGAGTTCAAGGTCAGCCTGGCCAACGTGGTGAAACCCTGTCTCTACTAAAAATACAAAAATTAGCTGGGCGTGGTGGCGTGCACTTGTAGTCCCAGTTACTCGGGAGACTGAGGCAGGAGAATCATTTGAACACGGGGGGCGGAGGTTGTGGTGAGCCAAGATTGTACCATTGCACTCCAGCCTAGGAAACAAGAGCAAAAAACTCCATCTCAAACAAGAAAAAAACACTTCAAAAATAATTTTGAAACATATCCCATTTATTTTTATGCCAGGCATTTAAAATTAAGGAGTCCAGGCCAAGTGTTGTGGCTCACACCTGTAATTTTACACTTTGGCAGGCTGAGACAGGAAGACTGTTTGAGCTCAGAAGTTCAAGACCAGCTTGGGCAATGTAGCGAAACCCTGTCTTGGCAAAAAAAAAAAAAAAAAAGCCAGGTACGGCTGCATGTGTCTGTGTCTGTGGTCCCAGCTACTTGGGAGGCTGAGGTGGAAGGATCACTTTTGTCTGAGAGGTCAAGGCTGTAGTGAGCTATGATTGCACCACTGCATCCCTAGCCTAGAAAACAGAGCAAGACTCTATCTCAGGAAAACAACAAAAATAAAAAATAAATAAAATCAAGGAGTTTAGAATACATAGTCTAATGGCTGTATGTTAAGGGTCTGTTCTGTTGTGAGATCAAGAAACTTTCGGGCCAGGTGTGGTGGGGCTCATTCCTGTAATCCTAGCACTTTGGGAGGTTGAGGTAGGAGGATTGCTTGAGCTCAGGAGTTTAAGACCAACCGGGGCAACCTGTCTCTATAAAAAACACAAAAATTAGCCAGGCATAGTGGTGCACACCTGTAGTCCCAGCTACTTGGTGGGGCTGAGGCAGGAGGATCGCTTAAACCACCGGTTGAGGCTGCGGTGAGCCAAGATTGCACCACTGCACTCCCGCCTGGGTGACAAAGTGAGACCCTGTTTCAAAAAAAGAAACTTTCAAATCCAACGTTAGCATTTTTGGTACCCTTCAAGATCTAAAGCTCCATGATAACATCAATTTCAGGTAATAAATATCTACCCCACTAAAAGTACATTCTGAATCCCTCAAATTTACCTTCAGACAGAGTCTGACAGTCTCCCTTTGAACGACTACTCTCTCCAGGGTCCACTGCTCTTCGAAGTGATAGACTACCTGCTACACTGGATCGAGCTGGCTTGGGCGAATTACTCTTCTTATTTGTGGCTGCAAAGACATTTAAGAACACCTCTGAATAGGATACAACAGCATAAAACTTACTATTTAGTCCGTCAGAAAAAGTTTTAATCTTACCTTGCATGGAAGCTGTTCTCTCTACTGTCTAAAAATAAAAAACATTCTGTAGCCCCAACTGGTTATAAAACATTCCCATCTTGTTGCTTGTGGAGCAGAATCTTTGTTTTTTCAGACGGAGTCTTGCTCTTGTTGCCTAGGCTGGAGTGCAATGGAGCAATCTTGGCTCACTACAACCTCCACCTCCTGGGTTCAAGCAATTCTCCTGCCTCAGCCTCCCGAGTAGCTGAGATTACAGGCAGCCGTCACCATGCCCAGCTAATTTTTGTATTTTTAGCAGAGACAGAGTTTTGTCATCTTGGCCAGGCTGGTCTCGAACACCTGACCTCAGGTGATCCCCCTGCCTCAGCCTCCCAAAGTGCTGGGATTACAGACGTGCGCCAACCACACCCAGCCCGTAAAATCTTAACTTAAAAGACTACTTAAAAGATTATCTGTGAGCTCCATAAGAAAAATCATACAAATTTCAATGCAGTTGAACTACTAACAAAAACATAACCCATCAAACATTTGGAAATTTTTTTTTTTTTTTTTTTTTTGAGACGGAGTCTCGCTCTGTCGCCCAGGATGGAGTGCGGTGGCACGATCTCAGCTCACTGCAAGCTCCGCCTCCCGGGTTTACGCCATTCTCCTGCCTCAGCCTTCCGAGTAGCTGGGACTACAGGCGCCCACCACCTCGCCTGGCTAGTTTTTTGTGTTTTTTAGTAAAGACGGGGTTTCACCGTATTAGCCAGGATGGTCTCGATCTCCTGACCTCGTGATCCACCCATCTTGGCCTCCCAAAGTGCTGGGATTACAGGCTTGAGCCACTGCGCCCAGCCGGAAATGTTAAGTATTACTGGATTAAAAAGAAAATCAATGCTGAGTTAGAAACAAATTACAATCACGGTACTTCAAATCAAAATGTCTGTCGTCAAACCAGTAGTGAAAAGAAAATGTATAGCCTTAAAATGAATTAATTAGCAAAAAAAGGGACTATATGACCTAATATGCATAGATTCAAAAGCCAGGAAAACAATAAAAATAAACAAGCAAGAAAGCTATTGCCAGAAGGCAGGGACCTGCCCTTGAATTCAGCCTGCAAATCTGTGAGTTAAATAAATCTCTTTTAAAAATAAATTTTTTAAAAAGAACAAAAATAAAATTGTAAAAAAGAATTTAAAAAAAGCAGAAGAAATCCATTAATAGATAATAAACACGTTTAGCAAGGTTGCAGGATATAAGACAAAATAACTTACTGTATTTCTCTGCACTAGCAGATAATGTGAGAATGAAGTTAACAAAACAATTTCATTTTTAATAGCATAAAATACAATTAAAATACTTAGGAATTTAACAAAAGAAATGTGAGACTTGTTCACTGAAAACCACCACACATTGTTGAAAGAAAATAGAGACAACAGCAAAGACATCCTGTGTTCATCCTGATTGGAACACTTAATACTGTTAACAAAGCAATATTCTTAAAATTGATCTACAGATTCAACACAATTTCTATAAAAATCATAGTTGTTTCTTTTTTTTTTTTTTTTTTGCAGAAATTGACAAGCTAATCCTAAAATCTATTTGAAAATGTAAGAGACCCACAATACCCAAAATAATCTTAAATGGAACACTCACTTCTGATTTCAAAAGTTACTGTAACTACAGTAATCAAGACTATGTGGTACTGCCATGTACACATATATATCATCAAAACAGAACTGAGAGTCTAGAAACAAACCCTTACATTTATGGTCCACTGATTTTTGACAAGGATGCCAAGACAATGCAATGGGCAAAGAAAAAAAGGGGACAATAACGAGTGCTGCCAATGGTGTGGAAAACCTGGAGCCCTCATATACTGTTGCTGGGAATATAAAATGATGCAGCTACTTTGGAAAATATTCTGGCACTGGTAGTTCCTCAAAAAGTTAAACACAGTTGCCATGTAACCCATTAATTCCACTTCTAAGTATATACTCAAACAAAACCATATGTCCAAACAAAAACCCGTACATGAATGTTCATAGCAGCACTACTGATAATGACCAAAAAGTAGAAACAACCCAAATATCCATCAACTAATGAGTGGATAAATAGTATGTAGTACAGCCATACAATAAAATATCATGCAGCCATAAAAAGGAATAAATATATGTCACAATATGGATGAACCTTGAAAGGGCTGTGTTAAGTGAAATAAGCCAGACATAAGACCTCATATGTTATGAGTCTATTTATATGAAAAGTCCAGGCTGGGCGCGGTGGCTCACATCTGTAATCCCAGCACTTTGGGAGGCCAAGGTGGGCGGAGCATGAAATCAAGAGATCAAGACCATCCTGGCCAACATGGTGAAACCTCATCTCTACTAAAAATACAAAAATTAGCTAGACCTGGTGGTGCACACCTGTAGTCCCAGCTCCTCGGGAGGCTGAGGCAGGAGAATGGCATGAACCCAGAAGGCGGAGCTTGCAGTGAGCCAAGATTGTGCCACTGCACTCCAGCCTGGGCGACAGAGCGAGACTCCATCTCAAAAAAAAATCCAGAAGAAGAAAAATCCATAGAGAATAAGTAGATTAGTGGTTACCAGAAGATAGGAGGAGGGGAAGATGGGGAATGACTCTTTGGGTTTGGAGCTCTAGGGAGAGGGTTAATGAAAATGTTCTTAGACTTAGATAAATGTTCTAGACTTAGGAAAAATGACGACCAGTTTCTCCACTAAAAGGATAAATGAATTATCAGTTAAGGAAAAAAGCGTTAATAGGCCGGGTGCAGTGGCTCGTGCCAGTAATCCCAGAACTTTGGGAGGCCAAAGTGGGTGGATTACCTGAGGTCAGGAGTTTGAGACCAGCCTGGCCAGCATGGTGAAACCCCGTCTCTACTAAAAATGCAAAAATTAGCCAGGCATGGTGGCACACACCTGTAATCCCAGCTATTCGGGAGGCTGAGGCAAGAGAATTGCTTGAGCCCAGGAGATGGAGGTTGCAGTGAGCCAAGATTGCGTCACTGTACTCCAGCCTGGCGGACAGAGTGAGACTCTGTCTCAAAAAAAGTATTAACAAAGACAAAAGCAGAGATATAATGAAATGGTAAAAGAGA